TGTGTGCGTGTGTGCGTGTGTGCGTGTGTGCGTGTGTGCGTGTGTGCGTGTGTGCGTGTGTGCGTGTGTGCGTGTGCGTGTGTGCGTGTGTGCGTGTATGCGTGTGTGCGTGTGTGCGTGTGTGCGTGTGCGTGGTGTGGCGTGTGGTGCGTGGGTGCGTGTGTTCGCGAGTGCGTGTGTGCGTGTGTGCGTGTATGCGTGTGTGCGTGTGTGTGCGTGTGTAGTGTGTGTGCGGTGTGTTTGTGTGTGTGTGCGTGTGTGCGTGTGTGCGGTGTGTGCGTGTGTTGCGTGTGTGCGTGTGTGCGTGGTGCGGTGTGTGCGTGTGTGCGTGTGTGCGTGTGTGCGTGTGTGCGTGTTTGCGTGTGTCGTGTGTGCGTGTGTGCGTGTGTGCGTGTGGGCGTGCGTGTGTGCGTGCTTGTGTGCGTGTGTGCATGTGTGTGTGCGTGTGTGCGTGTGCGCGTGTGTGCGTGTGTGCGTGCGTGCGTGTGTGCGTGTGTGCGTGTGTGCGTGTGTCCGTGTGTGAGCGTGCGCGTGTGCGCGTGTGCGCGTGTGCGCGTGTGCGTGGTGTGCGTGTGTGCGTGTGTGCGTGTGTGCGTGTGTGCGTGTGTGCGTGTGCGCGTGTGCGCGTGTGCGCGTGTGTGTGTGTGTGTGTGTGTGCGTGTGTGCGTGCGTGCGTGCGTGCGTGCGTGCGTGCGGGCGGGCGTGCGGGCGTGCGGGCGTGCGTGCGTGCGTGTGTGCGTGTGTGTGTGTGTGCGTGTGTGCATGTGTGCGTGTGTGCGTGTGTGCGTGTGTGCGTGTGTGCGTGTGTGCGTGTGTGCGTGTGTGTGCGTGTGTGCGTGTGTGTGTGTGTGTGCGTGTGTTTGTGTGTGTGCGTGTGTGTGTGTGTGTGTGTGCTTGTGTGCGTATTATTCACACATATATGTATACACATATGCATGTATGGTTTTCTCGCTTGCTTGGCTTCCCAACGCTCCAGGGCGGCCCGAGACGCCTCCAAGAAAGCCCCCAGACTGCCCAGCAGGCCCCCAAGAGAGCCCCAAGAGGCCCCGAGGGCCCCAAGGCGGCCCAAAACGCCTCCAAGACAGCCCCAGAGGGTGTCCAGCCGAGGGGCCCGAGCTGACACTTCGAGCCCTGGCCACCCGGGCCCCGCGAGGCCCCCAGGAAACCCCAAGAAGCCCCAAGAGGCCCCCAAGAGGCTTGAGAGGCTTCCAAGAGGCCTCCGCGACGCCCCCAAGAGGCTCCCAAGAGAGGCAGCACGAAACAACTCAGGCCCACGAGGGGCCCCGAGTGAGCCTCACAAAGCCCCCGAGAGACCGCCCTCCCCCAAAGGATCCTTGGGGGGTCACTCTCGGGGTCCACACCTGTGCCCCCGAAGGGCCGGCGGCGCGCTGACAGAGGGGGGTTCGGCGGCACACGCGATCTGGCCTGGAGCGCCAGCTGCTCCCCAGCGTCGGCCGGCCTCTTCTCCTCTTCTGGCCCCCCACTGCTGCCTCCTGTTGCTTCGTATGCTCCTTCCTCCTCTCTCCTGTACCCCTCCAAGTTCTAACATCCCCCTTCCTCTGCACGGTGGCTGCAAATGCTGCAGCACCACTCCTTCGCAGCATGGTCATTTAGTTTTCGCCTCTGCGTTTGAGAAGCTTGCTCTGTGCTCGGATCTTTGTTGCGCCTGCAGTGACAAGTGATTTCGCTTTGTGCAGCGTCCCATTTTTCCGAGGCTTCCGGAGCACTATGAATTTAGCTGCTGCTCTATCGAGCACCAGGCTGCCACCGCAGCCATAGTTACCTAGCTTTGCATTCGTGTCTTCTTGGGCCTGTGCTCCATCGGGAGCGACTGCAGTGCCAGGCTCGCGCCTCGGGCAGTCGAGCCTACATGGAGGCTTCTGGGTTCCTCCTGTTCCATGTCTTCTCTCAGCCCCGTCCTTTCTTCTAAGTGCAACCTTAGCGGTGCACGGTGCACTGCGAGGCTGCTGCCATGAGCTGCTACTCTGCCAGTGGCTCACATACTCTATGCGCGTTTTGCCTCTGGGTTGGCCATTGTGTCTCCTCTGTCCGAGTGCTTTTCTGTAGGACTGCAGCTTTCCAGCCCGCGCCGTTACAGTGACAGTTATGATTCTACAGGCTTGCGCCACATCCGCCGACCACTATATCTACGTAATGGCCTTCGGCCCATCCCGCCGCCGTGCCTGGGTTGTGGGTCATAGGCCTCTTGGATGTTCGTTGGGGTCTCGTGGGAAGCCTCTCGGGAGCCTCCTAGAGGCAGTTTTGAGGCCTCTGGGGATCGTTTTGGGGCCTCGTTTAGGCATCTGGGGAGCCTCTTGAGGCCTCTTGGGGGGCCTCTTGGGGGCCTCCTCGGGGCTTCTTGGGGCCGGAGGCTCGGATTTTCGGTTCGCGTTCCCCTTCTTGGGCCCCTCTTGAGGCTGTCTGGGGGCCCTCGTGGGCCGTCTTGGGCGCCTCTTGGGCCGTCTTGGGCGCCCTGTGGGGCCGTCTTGGGGCCTTCTTGGAGGCTTCTTGGGCCGTCTTGGAGTGGTCTTGGAGGCTTCTAGGGACGTCATGGAGCGGCGGAAGGCCGAAAAGGCGAGAATACCAAAATCCTCCACAGATTTTTTCAGAACATTTATGATTTGGCCTCTTGGAAGTGCTCTTGGAGGGCTCTTCAGCCGTCTTGGGGCTATTTTGGGCGTCTTGGAGCGATCTTTCAGAGACTCGGGGCCTTCTTGAACCGTCTTGGGTGCGTCTTGGGGCCCTCTTGGGTCGTCGGGGGACCCTTAATCCCCCCAGGCCTGGGGGGGGGGGTCAAATTCCCAGTTTTGGGGCCCCTGGGGGGTGGGGGAGAAAGAATTTTTGGAGGGGAATCTCACGCGCCCAGAGACCCACGAGGGGTCGGCGGATCTGCAAAAGCCTTGGAAGTGCGCTCACGCGCCCGCGACCGCCGCTAAACAGGTAGACAAGATGTTCGCGCTCGCGGGCCAGGCGCTAAACTGTAAGTGATGTCGCATGCGAGGTAACCTCTTTTCTCTCCTCTCCACATCCTCCCAGCAGCTTGGCAGCGTGCAGCTAAACATCTGTTCAACTTTTGTGTTTAAACCAGCTGGAGGCGCAAAGTCCGGCCTCACTGAGAGGATCAGCTGGGATAAACATTGAGCAGTTGTTTGCATGGCTAACTAAACCTGTATATTCAGTCGGATCCGCAAAGGACGGCCTCACTGAGAGGATCGACTGTTTAAACGCAGATTTTGAACAGTTGAATTCGTTTCGCTTTTAACCCTTCTCTGTACGCTGCGCACTGGCGAAAGCGGTCTGGGTACATGCCCTAACGTCCTGCTCTTACTCTTTCTCCTCTCGTTCCTCTTCGTCTCACTCCTCGACGACGACGACAACATCGACGGACGACGGACGACGACGACGACCTCGACGACGACGACGACGACGGGCGACGGGCGACGGACGACGGACGACGGACGACGGACGACGGACGACGGACGACGGACGACGACGACGACGACGACGACGACGGCGGACGACGGACGACGGACGACGGACGACGGACGACGGACGACGGACGACGGACGACGACGACGACGACGACGACGACGAAGTCCAGCGGCCTGGCGGTTTGATGGCGTCGCCGCGCCGGTCGGCCGAGCTGCACGCAGCGGCTCCGAAGGGCCCCGGGGGGCACAGAAGCTGCCTTCGGCCGCCCTCTCCCTCCTCGTCGTCGTCGTCGTCGTCGTCCTCGTTCTCCTTGTCGTCCTCCTCGTTCTCCTCCCCGTCCTCCTCCTCGTTCTCCTCGTCGTCCTCCTCGTTCTCCTCGTCGTCCTCCTCCTCGTCGTCCTCCTCCTCTTCCTCCTCCTCCTTCGAGTTTTCTATCCGACTCGATGACGTTCCAAGAGAATGAGATGCACATGTGGGGATCCAAAGAGATGGGGTTCTTGTTATTGGCGGACCGCGCTGGAGGAACAGAGAGAGAACAGAACACCACCTCACCTCCTCTCACTCAGACCCACTCAGACTCAGTCATCACTCAGACTCCCTCATGACTCAGACTCAGTCAGTCACTCAGACTCACTCATCACTCAGACCCACTCATCACTCAGACTCACTCGTCACTCAGACCCACTCATCATTCGGACTCAGTCATGACTCAGACTCATCACTCATCAGTCAGACCCACTCATCACTCAGACTCACTCATCACTCAGACTCACTCATCACTCGGACTCACTCGTACTTGTACTCATACATTCACTACACTTACTCAAGTCCACTCATCGGATGATTCACACACACACACTGATGTTGAGGATGTGTCAGGCGATTCTGTGGCTTCAGCACTCCTAATGGGAGCGGCGGGGGGTATTTCCCTCGGCCCCTTTCGCGGATTTGTGTGGGGATGTCTCAGGCGGTTTGGCCATTTCCTCTTCCAACATGTTTCGCTTTCGGAGCAGTTTGCGAGGATGTCTCAGGCGATTCGCTGGTTTCAGCACTTAAGGGGAGCGGCGGGGGGTATTTCCCTCGGCCCCTTTGGCGGACTTGTTCCCCATATCCTAAGTATGGGGTTCTTGTTATTGGCGGACCGCGCCGGAGGAGAGAGAACACACCACTCCTCTCACTCAGACCCACTCACTCATCACTCAGACTCACTTATCACTCAGACCCACTCCTCACTCAGACTCACTCATCACTCAGACTCGCTCGTACTTGTCCTTACATATTCACTACACTCACTCAGGTCCACTCACCGGATGACTCACACACACTGATGTTGAGGATGTGTCAGGCGATTCTGTGGCTTCAGCACTCCTAAGGGGAGCGGCGGGGGGGTATTTCCCTCGGCCCCTTTCGCAGGATTTGTGTGGGGATGTTTCAGGCGGTTTGGCAATTTTCTCTTCCAATATGTTTCGCTTTCGGAACAGATTTGCGAGGATGTCTCAGGCGATTCGCTGGTTTCAGCACTCCTAAGGGGAGCGGCGGGTGGGTATTTCACTCGGCCCCTTTCGCGGGATTTTGTGGGGATGTCTCAGGCGGTTTGGCCATTTTCTCTTTCATGTTTCGCTTTCGGAACAGACTTGGGACGATGTATCAGGCGATTCGCTGGCTTCAGCGGTCGTGATCCGATGTGGCCCGCGAACTGAGGGGGAGGGCGGGCGCGCCGCTATGAGGACAGGAGAGCGGCAGAAAAGGAGCAGGCGCAACGGCGGCACCAGGGGAGGAATGCCAAAAGCAGAAGAAAGGACGAGAAAAGCGGAGCCGAAGCGCGGGGCAAGGGGAAAGGAAGACACGGGGGCGGACAGCCAAGGGGAAGAAGGAGAGGCGGAAAGAGTGTCGAGAGGAAAAGGAGCAAGGGAGGAGAGAAGGAGACACAAGAGACGGGAGAGAGAGACGAGGCTCACACTCCTAAGGGGAGCGGCGGGGGGGTATTTCACTCGGCCCCTTTCGCGGATTTTTGTGGGGATGTCTCAGGCGGTTTGGCCATTTTCTCTTCCAACATGTTTCGCTTTCGGAGCAGATTTGGAGGATGTCTCCGGCGAGTCGCTGGTTTCAGCACTCTAAGGGGAGCGGCGGGGGGGTATTTCACTCGGCCCCTTTCGCGGGATTTTGTGGGGATGTCTCAGGCGGTTTGGCCATTTTCTCTTCCAACATGTTTCGCTTTCGGAGCAGATGTGGAGGACGTTTGCGCCCAGATTGCGGGGATGTCTCAGGCGGTTTGACTGTTATGATGCTGGGCATCTGTCGTTTTCGGAACAGTTGTGGGAGGATGTGTTAGGCGATTTGCTAATATCAGCATTCCCAAGGAGGAGGAGGAGGGGGAGGAGGAGGAGGAGGAGGAAGAGGAGGAGGAGGAGGAGGAGGAAGAGGAGGAGGAGGAGGAGTAGGGAACGAAGGAGGAGGAGGAAGAGGACAGGAGGAGGGAGATGGGACAGCAATGCGCACGGTAGGAAGCAGAAGCAGGAAAGGGGAGGATGATGATGATGATGTGAATGATGATGAATGATGATGATGAATGATGAATGATGATGATGATGATGATGATGAAATGATGATGATGTATGATGATGATGATGAATGATGATATGATGATGATGATGATGCTGATGATGATGATGATGAGGCGGAGGAGAAGGAGGAGGACGTGGGCAACTCGAGTAGCCAGGGCCAGACGATCCAGGTTCGATGTTCCAAAGCTTTAGGTTTTACTCAAATGTTTCCGCCTCACTCTCTTTCGCTCTCCGCTCTCCTTCACGCTTCTGCATTCATACTCACTCATACTCAGACCCAGTCACACGCAGGCTCACTCGCACTTAGACCCGCTCATCTCCATACTTAAACTTACTCACGCGCAGACCCACGCTCAGAACCACTCATACTCAGACTCGCTCCTGCTCAGACTCATCATCCTTCGGTCCGCTCAAACGCAGACCGACTCACACTAAGACTGCCTCACAGCCATACCCAATCACACTCGGCTCATTCGCACTCAGATTCATGAACACACATTTTTCCCACATTCAGACCCACTCAAGCCCAGCCTCACTCATGCTCAGGCTCATCATGCTACGATCCGCTCAATCACAGACTGGCTCACACTCAGACTCGTCCATACTCAGACCCACTCGCACACAGACGCACTCGCGCCCATATTTACTCACGCGCATACCCACTCGAACCCAGGCTCAATCGCACCCAGATTAACTCACACTCATAATCAGTCGCTCTCAGATTTGCTATTGGTCGCACCAATGCTTGCAGACTGTGGGAATGTCTCGACGAGCGGCTCGCCCTCGCACACAGGCGCCCATTGACAGATATCAAGAGAAAGGCGTACCAAGATAATGGGATGCACATATGGGGAGCTCCGCGTCGAGTAGTTGTAGGGATGTCTCAGACGTTTTTGCTTTTTTTTTCTCCTCCAACATGTTTCGCGGTCGGAGCAGATTTGGAGGATGTCTCAGGCGATTCGCTGGTTTCAGCACTCCTAACGGGAGCGGCGGAGGTGTATTTCACTCGGCCCCTTTCGATGGACTTCGTGGGGATGTCTCACGCGGTTTGGCCATTTTCTCGTCAACATGTTTCGCTTTCCGAGCAGGTTAGGGGGATGTCTCAGGCGATTCGCTGGTTTCAGCACTCTAAGGGGAGCGGCGGATGTGTATTTCACTCTGCCCCTTTCGCCGGATGTTGTGGGGTCTCAGGCGGTTTGGCTATTTTCTCTTCCAACACGTTTCGCTTTCGGAGCAGATGCGGAGGATGTCTCAGGCGATTCGCTGGTTTCAGCACTCTAAGGGGAGCGGCGGTGCGGTATTTCATTCGGCCCCTTTCGCGGGATGTTGTGGGGATGTCCCGGGCGGTGTGGCCATTTTCTCGTCAACATGTTTCGCTTTCGGAGCAGATTTGGAGGACGTTCACGCCCAGTGTGCGGGGATGTCTCTGGCGGCTTGGCCGTTATGATGCTGGGCACCCCTCGTTTTCGGAGCAATGTTGGGAGGATGTCTCAGGCGATTCGCTTGTTCCAGCAATCCAATGAGAGGAGGAGGAGGGGGAAGGAGGAGGAGGAGGAGGAGGAGGGAGGAAGATTAGGAGGAGAGGAGGAGGAGGAGGATGAGGAGGAGGAGAGGAGGAGAGAAGGAGGGGAAGCGGCAGGAGAGACGAGGACCAATGAGGAAGAGGAAAGGAGACGGAGGAAGCCATGACACGTAGGAGCAGAAGCATGCGGGGAATGAAGGGATGATGATGATGATGATGTTGAATTGAATGATTATGATGATGATAGGGAGTAGGAGTTAGTAGATAGTAGGTGGAGGCGGAGTAAGAGGAGAGGAGGAGGAGAGGGGGGATTAGGGGGAGGAGGAGGAGGAGGAGGAGGATGTGGGCTTTCGAGTAGCCAGGGCCAGACGATCGAGGTTCGATGTTCCAAAGCTTTAGGTTTTACTCAAACGCTTCCGCCTCACTCTCCTTCGCCTTCCGCTCTCCTTCACGCTTCTGCATTCATACTCACTCATATCCAGACCCAGTCACACGCAGGCTCACTCGGACGTAGACTCGCTCATACCCATACTTAAACTTACTCACACCCAGACTCACGCCCAGAACCACTCATACTCAGACTCGCTCCTGCTCAGACTCATCATCCTTCGGTCCGCTCAAACGCAGACCGACTCACACTCAGACTGCCTCACATCCATACCCAATCACACTCGGCTCGCTCGCGCTCAGATTCCTCACACTCAAACCCACTCGAGCCCAGACTCACTCATGCTCAGACCCATCATGCTACGATCCGCTCAATCACAGACTGGCTCACACTCAGATTCGTCCATACTCAGACCCATTCGCACACAGACGCACTCGCGCTCATCTTTGCTCACGCGCATGCCCGCTCAAACCCAGGCTCAATCGCACCCAGATTAACTCACACTCAGAATCAGTCGCTCTCAGACTTGCTATTGGTCGCACCCATGCTTGCAGACTGTGGGGATGTCTCGAGCGAGCGGTTCGCCCTCGCACACAGGCGCCCATTGACAGGTATCAAGAGAAACACGTACCAAGAGAATGGGATGCACATATGGGGAGCCCCGCGTCGAGTAATTGTGGGAATGTCTCAGACGTGTTTGCCTTTTTCTCGTCCAACATGTTTCGCTTTCGGAGCAGATTTGGGTGATGTCTCAGGCGATTCGCTGGTTTCAGCACTAAGGGGAGCGGCGGGGGGGTATTACACCCGGCCCCTTTCGCGGGATTGCGTGGGGATGCCCCAGGCGGTTTGGCCATTCTCGCTTCCAACATGTTTCGCTTTCGGAGCAGACTTGGAGGATGTCTCAGGCGATTCGCTGGTTTCAGCACTTTAAAGGGAGCGGCGGAGT